TTTTTGCTTCTTGTCAGTCCTTCATGTTATTACTAAGCTCCTTGCTGCTTATTCATTGTTTGTAAAATACAGTATGTCTCTTTCCATTCCCATATTCCTTTTCTTGATTTTCTTTTTTCTATACCTCACATTTAAGGATTTTGTGTCTTTTTTTCCCCCCTGCCCAAATCTTTATCCCTACAGTGGGAGGAAATAAGCGGCGTAGATGAGAAGTATAAGCCCATTCGGACATACCAGGTGTGCAATGTGATGGAGCCCTTGCAGCAGAACAACTGGCTGCAGACGGGCTGGGTGGCACGTCGAGGTGGACAGCGCATTTTTGTGGAGCTCCAGTTCACTCTGCGTGACTGCAACAGCATCCCTGGTGTAGCAGGCACCTGCAAGGAGACCTTCAACCTCCTGTATGTCGAGTCAGACAGGGACCTTGGAGGTGTGACGCGAGAGGACCGCTATACCAAGATAGATACCATTGCTGCTGATGAGAGCTTCACGCAGGGTGATCTTGGTGAGAGGAAGATGAAGCTGAACACAGAGGTGCGCGAGATCGGCCACCTCAATCGTAAAGGGTTCCACCTGGCATTCCAGGATGTCGGTGCCTGCGTGGCACTGGTGGCTGTGCGGGTTTACTACAAACGCTGTCTCGCAACCGTCCAGAACCTGGCAGTGTTCCCCGATACAGTGGCCGAGGCAGCGTTTGCCACGCTTGTAGAGGTGCGCGGCACCTGTGTTAACAACTCTGAAGTTGACACAGACAGCCCTCCCAGGATGCATTGTAGTGCCGAAGGTGAATGGCTGGTGCCTATTGGGAAGTGCAGCTGCAGCGCCGGCTATGAGGAGGGACACAGCAGCTGTGAAGGTAGGGAATGGAAAATCAGATAGTGGGATGTGTGGATACATGAATAAGAATGCAGCAAATGCAAGCAACGAGAAAGGAATTGTGTCGGAAATTAACTAAAGCAACAAATCCAGAATACTGAATATAGAAAAGAAAGAATTGGCAATGTTTTCATGTGTTTTAGCTCTTTGATAGAATGCTCTGGACTAACAGCAAGCAGGAACACACCAGGAAAAAAACAAAAACTGTGTGTGATTTTTTTTTTTTTTAAACACAACTTGGTTTGAAGTTTTGCTAGAAACCGGTGTCAGTGTATTGAATAGCACATACAAAATACAGCAAATAATTGCATTGCAATCAAAACTGATGATTTGTATGCAAACTAAGTGAAATTGGCATTTTTTTCATGTGTTAAATGGCAGTGCCACTTGCATTAGAGCCAATCCAAATTCCAAATTGCATAGGAGGTTCAGGCAGCTATTGCTAGCAGCTACAAATATTATAAAGCCGTATAGTTCTGTTGAAGATATATTCAGTTAAAAAGACTGTGAACTTGACATTACCTTTAGAGGAAGTAATATTCAATAAGAGACTTGAAGTGAGTTAACAGAATGAGGATTTTTGCAGTGAAAAGAAGAAAAAAGAAGAGGAGTTTGTGAGGGCGATGAAGTTGGGCAGAATAAAAGAAGAGATTAATGGCATTAGAAGATGAGAAAAGCAAGGCTGATCTGTATTGAGACACACACAGAGATACAGCAGATACTGTAAGAGTGAACGAGGGAAAGGGAATAAGCGCAGGTGAGCAAGGACAGAAAGGAGAAATCAATGTTAACGAGTGTTTAGACAAGAAGAACGATCCGCAGTGGTCATGTTTTTAGAGGGCAGACAATAGAAGTACAAAGACACCTTTCTCATTCATTTTCAAACTGTGCCTCCTTTTGTTCTATACTGACAGTGCCATCGATTGCGAGGATCTTGACTTGTCAGAGATGTTAAAATATTTCGTGTTTATGTCCAAACGTTGTCACACATATTGGCATGTGAGGCATGGTGTGTGCGCCGTGAGTATGAGAAGTGTGAAGAGCCTGGTGTGTGTGAATGTGAACACAATGACTTTGTGTACTGTTTCTTCAGAAGGCCGTGTCCCAAGCTTGACAACACATCTTTCTTTCATGAGGCATAAATGTCCCGATTAACACGCAGACACACCTACAGGAAGTGCTGCCATTAGAAAGCTCGCGGGTGGTTTGATGTGTTGCTTTCTGACGTAAACTGAAACGGACAGTATTGCGATCTTTTGTCACAATTGCTCATATAATAGCAGCAGTTTGAACGCCTGACTCTCGCTGTTAGTTTTCACACCCCATCTTGAATTATTGTGCAATGCGATGTGGGTGTTGGAGTCACTTGACTAGACTGTAATGTGCAGTAATGGGACAGTAATTTAGACTGTTGAACTCGGTGCGGTGATCTCATATTGATCCCCGCAGTGGTTTTTTATTAAAAATGTATTGATTCTGTGTATTTGATTCACAATAGTAATTTACACCAGCGTGTTTGTATTCCAAAGTGAAGCTCATTGTGCTACTAACTAAAATATATAAGAAACAGCAACATAGCTAAAAGGCTCAGTGAGTCTATCCATAAAAAGTCAAAACCTTACTTTCAGATTCAGTTTGCCTGCTGTCCACTTCAAGGTTGTCTCTGTCTGAAGCTCTGCACAGCTCTCAGCACTCCTGCTGTTTTCAGGTCATTTCCTTGAAGTCTCATTCTGACCACTTCCCTCTGCACGTCTTCTTTGCTGTGTCAAAGCAGCATGCCTTTAACTATACTTTCATTTTGGGGAAGAAGTCAGGTGAGCAACAATTTGCTGTTGCCGTGGCCATGAAACCCATCACGTTCGGGGTCGTTTGCAGTAAGTGTTCTCCCTCAGACACCTCGGGATGTCGATGACCTTGTGCGTTACCTGTGGACTTGTACATCGCATGATCTTCCAGTGAAGACTGCTGTTTTCTCATCTAAGTCATAGCAGGGACATAATATTTTCTTAACCGTAACATTTTTTGGTATGATTGTACCATGTGCCGCTTTTGGAATGCTTTCATTTAGTGGGATTTAACAACCGATATGGTGATTCAATCACATATCTTGTCTGTCATTGTAAATGATGGGCCGTAACAATATTAACTTTATGAAGTTTCTGCCAACAATAGTTGTGTAAAACACCTAGCTGTTGAGAGGAACCAATAGCTAAGGAAAAAAAATCCAGTATAAATAGTATTAATAGTAAAGTTGGTGATAAGTCGTGCAGAACTTTGGCTGCGTTGCACATTTTCTGGTTCTGCAGTAACGGTTTGACAGTTGGAGCTGAGAATTGTTTAATGATATTGGCAGTTGGGCCGTGTGCAAATAAAGTATGTGTTGCTTGTCCTGCTTTTTGTAATTACTGACAATGCGTTTTCGACAATAAAATCTTCGGCGCGGACAGAAGAGTCTGACTGATGTACAAACCAACAGAGAAACTCAGAGGAGAATAACAATGTGGTACGGGGAAGCACCGCGCAGATGGATGAAGAGAGAAAGCAGTGACAGGAAACCAACAAAAAAAAAAAGTAACATTTTAAAGGAAAATAAGGAGTAAAGGGAGAATAGAACATGTCAGGCATCTTGCCAAAAGAGCAAGTAGACAAGGACAGTGAGTCTCAGTGATGGCACAGAAAAGCCAGCGAGTCCACAGAGACTCAGAGAGAGAGAGACGTTTTAGACTGCTTCTATCGGTGCTCAACCTTGACTGGGTGCAGTTTAGCAAGTAACTGTGTGGTCCACTAGGTGATAGAGAATGTCATTATCCATGAGAGTGGTCTGCTGACACACACACACGTTCCCTGTAGTGCCTCTTTCCTCACTTCAGCTGTAATGGTATGAATATGCAGCCAAAGCCCAGACATCTCCCACTGCACCAGAGCTATTGATCAGCTGTAATGCTCCACTAAACTGAGGAATTGCGCTGGGACTGCTCATACACACTTATACTAAGGACACATCTCACAGCAGACACACACGCACACACACTTTTTTTTTTTTTAAATTTCATTTTGTGTGTCGGAGAAAGACATCGGGTCTCCGTGTGCACCTCATAAAAATGGATAGCGAGATTACAGAAACGTTTCGTGCGCAAGGACATTTGAGTTTATATACGTGTCGCAATCATCCCCATGCACATGTCCTTCAAGAATATGAATGAGCAGCTGCTGTGAAGTACAATAAAAAAAAAAAAGAATGCAAAGCAGTAAATCGCAACAAACACAACAAAGCTGTGATCTTTAACCGATTCCCGTGTACGTTTGCATACAGTGTTCACAGGTTCTATGTCTTATTTACTCCTGAGCGTAATTGTTTAACTGAGTGAGTGAAAATGCACTAAGTGTCTCAGTCCTAGTCAATAATATTGAAGAGCCAGTGAGAAGCTACTGATAATGGTGTAAACAGATAGTGCTGTGCAGTGCAGTAGGGAAGAGGATTATTACCGCATCCTCTGCGAGGGTCACAGAAGATTTAAGGAATGCTGGATTACTTCGGATTATGGCAACTGCTGTCATAATTCTTTTTATAAAGTTTTTACCTAGGAAGTGTAGGTATTAAAGGAGATTTAACTTAATTTAACAACAACAAAAAAACTCAGCAAAAGAGCAAATTTGTTATGTGTCCAGCCATGCGGTGGCTCTCGTCTGGCTTTCATCTCTCCAGTTCGACTACTGCATCAAAACTGAATGAATGTGTAATTATAGAAAACCTAAAAAAGACAAATATGTGTGTGGTGTTGAAGTCGTCTCTTACAACTGAATTACTACCAAGTATCTCTAGGATGAAAAGAGGAGATCCTGGTGTTTAAGATTTAGGTCATGCAACTAATCCGCTGTTGCTCAGAGGACCGCAAGACTGCTGCTGCTTGTGAAGATGAGTGTAAATACGAAGAATTTAGAGCTTATGTCCACTTAGCTTCCTCATGAAATACATGAAAGGCCAAAAAAGGAGAGCGAGTTTAAAAACCAGAGCGGTAGGACGACTTGGATGTGTACATCTTGACCCTGTGCGCATTCACAAGTCATACGCGCGTTGTGAGGAGCACACATATGGTCTTCGGTCTCATTATGAATAGCCGTCAACAGGAACAGACCAGGGGGCAAAAAAATGACGTAATATATTACCTCAGAAACGGTGTGTTTGATGTACATGTGTATTTGTGTGGGGGTTTTTTTTTTTGCGTGTGTCTCTCTCACACTCATGAGCTCCATCCTGTTCTAATTAAGGCAGGCTGCTCTTTCTATATAATTACTGAGTTTGCCTCATGCCTTCAGCGGATTCTCTTATTATCTTTGTTTGATGCTTCACAATCCAGCTCCATCACATTCACCACCCTGCTATTCCTTCCTATTGCTCTCCTTCCCTCCGTAATTTACTACACGCCATCCTTCTCCTCCCCTTTCCCCCCTCATGCACCTTTATTTCCTTCTCCTATTTACCCCCCACGCGCTCCCTGTGCTGCCAAAGAAGTGTATACTTAATTTCTATCTCACTGATCAGAGCAACACTTCACGACTTCCTCCGAAGAAACTGTTTGCGTTCTCTCTCCTCCTCTAACCTTTTTCCTTTTTTTTTTTTCTCCCTCTTTGACTTTCTGTTTTATATCGTGTCTCTTTTCAATATTTCCCATCAACATTCTGCTTTTTCTCTCTCCAGCTCTTGTTTCATGCCCCCCTGGGGCGACCATGTGGCAGGGTAAGATGGGGTAAAGCAGGGCGAGGCAGGTTAACAGGCTGAAATCTGCTGGTGAAGCTTGGAGATTTATCCGATGCGTTTATACAGGGTGGTGAGCGAGAAAGTGTGTGTGTGTGTGTTTGCGTGCTCAAATTTGGCACTAGTAGCCAATCATATGTTTCCAAAGTCGCTCCCTCTGTTGCAGTCATCTTCCGCTCTGTCTGTTGTCACTTCTTGTCATGTCCTTATCAGCCTTCCCTATT